TGAATGTATAATATTTATATATTATACTGTATGTAATATTTATATGTATATTATATGAATGTGTAATTAAATTTTAATGTGTGGAGTATTTGAATTTTACATGATTTACGCATATCATAAAAAACGTAAAATTTTAATATTTTGAGTATATACGAATGTTTACATCTTCAATATAGAATTCTGGATACAAAAAATATGTGCAATCGTTATAATGATGTTCCTTTTGTATGGTTTAATTTATTGTTTAATGTAAAATATGTAAGTGTTCCTCGATTTGCAATCTATGAGGTACTGCCTGAAATATCCAGTGTGCGAATGTTGTTTAACTGTTACACAACAATGGGCAGTGTACATCAGGCAGCCGTAATGTTCATTTACGTCCACTGGATTACTACCACAGTCATGTTTATTTGTATTTTAAAAAAAAGAACAGAGAGTTGTGATAATTAGAAAGTTAAACCTTAAACTTGTAATGTATAATTTTTGTTGCGGTATCATATCGTGAAACAATTCTATGGAGTCTTCATAGAAACAAATTTTGTTGACATTGTACTTTTCTGTTCAATCATTTTGGTGATTGTAAATAAAGTCTTCAAGATTTCAATACATTCCGAGTATACTTTTAATAACTAGTAACCATTTTATAATGGAGTAGACATTTAGAAATCAAAAATTAATAATCATGGATTCAGATTAATCTTAAGTATAAAACATTTAATGCATGTATTTAAGTCATAAACAGAGAAAAATTATAGATTAAATAATAATTAAGATGCAGTAATTAAAGGACATGATAGGGTACTATAAAAAACTTAGTAAACAACAGATAATTTGTTTTCAAACTTTTTATGGAAGAATTGTAAAATACAAAAAAGTATATTACTTCTTTCCAGCTATAATAATGCCATCATATTTCTGCTGGAACCATTTCATTGCGTCTTCTTTGGTAAGTCTGTGTTGGAAACCGACTTTTCCAGTTTTCCTTCTCCTATGAGCTACATTGAAACCTACACAAAGAATTGAGTATATAGCATACAGATTAGTATTTATAACATTTAGCGAGTAATTTTCTATAACAATTTCAAACAAAAATCGGAAGTAGAAAAATATGGTTTCAATAGCAGTGCATGTGATTTGGAAGGGTGCAAATAGTAGAGCACAATCATTTTACTCTTAATTCTCAAATTATATTGCCACAATAAATCATTCTTTCTTCCGTTTTCTTTCAATTACTGCCAAATCATGTGTAATGTATTAAATGCACTTCGATAATAATTTTACACACATACATAAGTATCATTCTTTGCAGTCAAGATGGATATATTAAAAGATATTGCGTTTCTACTCTAAGTATTAAACTATAGGTGTATTATCCACAATTTACAGACCAAGATACATTAAATCATTCTTTTCATTAAAATGTGTTCAAAATTTCTTTATATCAATGCTTATCTCGATTACAAAGGTTTGATATTAGTAAGTCTAAATTATTAAACATTCCATCTTTAATATCAAAAACAATGTTACATCAATTAAGTAACACACCCAGTATAGGAAGTGGGCATGAGTTGCAAATATGAAGTATTTACTTTAGCACATGCTTTAACAAAGTTATAGACACACCATAATGCAGGAGTATCTATGATACCAGATAAATGTGCCTATTACCATTTCTTTTGTAGAAGAAAATGAGTCAACCGATCAGATAGACTAGGACCGGGATTCGAAAACCTGATCTTTTGCTTGCTGGGCGACTACTTTAACCAACTAAGCTATTCTAGTCGACTGACAACACATTCTCTCCTAGTCCTTATAAACACAATGACTTATATTGTAATACTATTATAAAGTACTAACCTGGTCGCCCAAGTACAACGTAGAAGTCCAAACCATAAATACCAATGCTAGGATCATATTTAATTCCTAAGTCAATATGTTCTTGAATACCAAAACCAAAGTTTCCAGTACCAGAGAAATTTTCTTTCCTTAATTCGTATTCCCGAACCTTAAAAAAAAAACAATATTTCAAGTTAGATATCAGCAAACAAATTATTATTAATAAAATGCAATAATTGTTTGCTGCATTACAACTGCATTACCTTCAATCCACGTTCAAGAATTTCCTCTGCTTTAGCACCTCTGACAGTACAGTGCACTGCAATCTTTTCATTACGACGAATACCAAAAGAACGGACAGTGTATCTAGCTTTAGAAAAGACAGGCTGTTGTCCAGTTAATTGTTCCAATACCTATAAACATCAGATAAAAGATAATATAATTAACAACGAACTTTAATATAATTATGAACTAGTAAAAACATCGAAAGCTAAAATTTATAATAAATGAAAATTTCTATTCAATGTGATAGTTTCTATGAAAAGAATATTACGAATGATATTAAAGAAATATACCTTCGCAGCACGAGTAAGCCTATCACCAGATTCTCCTACACAAATGTTTAAGCACAGTTTACGAATGCGAACTTCGCGCATAACATTTTTAGATGCATCTTTCGGCTCTTTCCTTATTTTCTTTTCGGTCTTTTCGACCTTTTTCTCGGCTTTCTTCACATCCTGCAACACAATTAATTCATCAGTATGTTTGATACAGTAGAAATTCAATTTTTTAATTATTGTACAGAATGAGAAATAAAATTCGAAGATAATATAATTTACATAATAGATTATAAAATAAGTAGAATTAACCTTGTTCGTTTTAACAGTTTTATATTTATATACGAAAACTCTTTACAAACTTTATAAACATTATAAACACTAACGCAGGTTATACCAGCGATACACGCTGGTCAAAAATCTCAAGTATCTGTCATGTTAAAAATTTTAAAAACGAATGCATTAACGAAAAAGAATTTGATAAATATTAAATTCATAACTTTAAGTTCTCGTTGATTTATGAAAAATAAGTTATTTGAAGTGGATGTCATTGATTTTTAGAGATTTAGAAAATAGTTTTCAAGCTAACGACTACACACTCACCGCCATGATGAAGAGAAAAGAAGGTGACCGAGATGCACTCTACTGACAAATCGAAAAGTTAGATCTTAGATCCATTCCAGGCTTGCCACTATCCGTAGTGAAAATGTACCAAATTTAGTTATATTTTAAAATATCCTTAATTTTGTTACTATAATGTTTATTACGAGATATAACAAAATAAATGTTTGATAGTAATGCACTTTTTTGCACTAAAAATATGTCTACATTTTAGTTTTCGAGATATTTGCAAACAATTGTTGCTACCACATGCTACTGTATTGAATTTCCGCTTACACGTACATGTCGCGTCAGTGTGTATGCGCGAGTCAACGTGCTTTACATATATGCACCAGGTATTTCACCAATGAAGGAATTTCAATTTCATTGGAACAGTTATCAGTTACAGAAGACACATCGCCTTTGAATGGAATATTTTTCTCCTCATAATATTTTTACCATCATACAAAATAAGCGATATATTTAAAGTGGTCAAGTTAGGTGAAATATCCGGTATCTAGAGAGAAAAACGCACGCATCACGCATTACGCAGAAATACAAAATTAGCACTAACGATTTTGAGATTGTTGGAAGAAATAGAACAAAATTGAATTCTCGCTGAAACAATCACAAACTAATTTCGTCTGTTGTCAATTCAATTTCAAACCAAATTAGTTCGCAAATTACGAGAACGACGAATATTAGGTTACAGGTTTTAAATAAATGAAATGTCAATTCATGGCAGAATTTATTAAATTCGGATTAATTTCAAGAAATAAACATGTTTATTTTTAACTTTTTTTATGGAAATAAATATATACATATTTAAATATCGTATG